CGGTTCAGGGCAAGGCCAGCACCGACAATGCAGACAACAAGGCTACCTATGCCATCAAGTGTGCTACATTGAACGTCCAAGGCCTCAAAGGCAAGCACAAGTATCTTGATGCCCAATTCCACGAGGCGGGCTACCAGCTCATATGCTTCCAGGAAACCAAGGACAAGGAGGGCACCTGGGAAAGCAAGAATTACCTGAGGCTGTCGACCAATGCGGACAAGCATTGGGGTGTTGCCCTGTGGATCCACAGGACGTTGGGCCTCATGAACGTTGGCGGCAAACCACTTTGCCTGGAGGAAAGCGACCTTTGTATTCAAAGGCAAACGCCAAGGCTTTTGGTTGTCGAGGTCAACAAACGCGACCTCCGATGTGTGCTGTTTTCTGCCCATGTCCCACATAGTGGCAGAGAGGATGAAAGGCTCAAGGTCTTGGATGACCTTCGACAGTGTCTGCAAGCCCTAGGTGAAAGTGACATTGTGATCGGGGGGATGGACACGAACAGCAGACCTCCCCCGGACTTTGCGAGTGTCACAGGTGGCTTGGAATGTGGACAGGCAGACCGAGCCGGCGATCAACTTGCCAATGTCCTGTCAGCATGCCACCTATGGCTTCCAGCTACTTATGAAGAGCTACACCGAGGCGACAGCACAACCTACAAACACCCGAATGGGCAGACCCATCGGATCGACTTCATTGCCATTGGAGGACGCCGACACCCAGAGTGGCTGAGGAGCTATGTCGAGGAGGACATCGACGTCGGCTCGGTTCGAGACGATCATTTTATGGTGGGCCTCCGCCTTGGTGGCTGGCTCCTTGCCAGTGAGGGTGACAAAAAACTCTGTCGGCCCAAATATGACAGAGATAAGATGATGACGCCAGAAGGCAAGAAGATCCTGCAAGATGCCTTCGAGAAGTACCAGGCGCCGCCGTGGTGGGAACACGCCGACACCCACTACAAGCATTTCCAGGAGTACGTGCAGGCCGTGCTCCATGAACATTTTCCCCCGCCGAGTGTGCGACGAACTGCCTACATACCTGACAAGGTGTGGCAGTGGAGAGAACAGAAGATGAACCTAAAGAGGAGAACGAGCGGGAGGAAAGACATATGGGCCCGAGCTGCTGTTGCAGCTTTTCTGCAATGGCGCTATGGTATCCACGGTCTTGTTGCTTGGGTTATTCACAAGGATGGCTTCCTCTACCAGCTTGCTGCTGGTGCCATTGCCTTTAAGACCGGGCAGATCAAGAAGGAGATCTACAAAGGAAAGGCCGCCTACCTGCAGGAGGTTGTGAAGGACGGCCCCCAGAGTGCCACCGGCATCCTACAGCGTCTCAAAAAATACGGCGTGGGGGGACGACAGGCCCAGAAAGGACCGCGACCGCTCCCCATGCTGATAGATGACGAAGGAAGAGCTGCAACCAGCCAGGCCGACTATGACAAAATCTGGCTGCGGCACTTCGGACAGCAGGAATACGGGAGGACTGAGTCTACAGATGTGTTCCTGCAGCAGCCCGATGTCGCTTCGAGGATCAGTGCTGAGGTGACCTGGCACCCTACTGACCTACCAGCTGTTGGAGAGATTGAGTCCATCCTGCGGACCATCCCCCGCAACAAAGCAGCTGGACTCGATGCGATACCGGGGGAGGCCCTTAGAGCCTGCCCTTCGGCAGCTGCTATGGCCCTGGTGCCAGTCTTTCTCAAGGCAGCCACGAGCCTGGCGCAGCCGCTTCAGTGGCGTGGCGGTATCATCTACACCGCCTGGAAGAAGAGCGGCGCTATTTCACGGCCAACAAACTCCCGGTCTTTGTTCATATCAAGCGTTGTTGGCAAGAGCTACCACAGGCTGATTCGGAACAAGACGCAGCCTCAACTACAAGCAGAACTTCATGACCTACACTTGGGTAGCAAGGCCAAGTCCCCGCTGGCTTTCGCCTCCCTTTATGTGTTCACAAGGTTCCGAGGGTGCCGGAATGCGCGCCGCTCTGTTGGCGCCATTTTCTTGGACACCACGGCGGCTTACTACAGAGTGCTGCGAGAAGCTGTGGTTGGCGACATCTGCTACGACGAGACCATCGCATGGCTGATGAAACGATTCCAGCTCGACCCTGTCGATATGGCTGGGCTGTGGGAGACAATCAACGCCGGAGGTATCGCAAAGGAGGTGGGCATGACGTCAGCGATGCGAGCCCTGATGAAAGATGTGCACCATCGTACATGGTGCGTGTCCAAGCACACGGACGGCACAAGGCTGGCGGTCACCAAGGCGGGCAGCAGGCCTGGAGAGTCCCTAGCGGACGTTGTCTTCAGCTACGTCTACACTAGGGTCCTCGGTAGGATCTGGGAGGCTGCCTGTGGTGAGGACTTGCTGAGCGTGGCGAACGTGGACCTCACCGAGGGTGTGTTTGCTCCACCAGGGCGAGGAGAAGAAGCCTCCGTCCGGGACGTGACATGGGCTGACGACACGACAGTGATGTTTGATGATGTCAGCCCAGAGCGATGCTTGCGCAAATGCAAGCGCCTTGCGTCCATCACAGTCTCAATCTGTGAGGCGCACGGACTACAGCCCAACCTCAAAAAAGGGAAAACTACAGTGGTTCTCTCATTGACCGGGAAAGGTGTGCATGAAGCACGACGCCGGCATTTCGAAGGAGGCCATCAGACACTACATCTAACAGACCTCAGGGTTGATGTGCCGGTTGCGGCACAATATGTCCACCTTGGTGGTGTGCTTGACCATAAGATGAGCATGATGCCGGAGATGAGACGGCGCTTGGCCCTAGCAGCATCATCGTACGAGGCTGGAAGCAGGCTCATCTTCGCGAATGGCACCATCCCACTGAGTGTCAGGGCCCAGATGTTTGAGACCGTGGTCCTTTCCACCTTTCACAACCTCCCTGTCTGGATACCGTATGGACAGGCGTGGGGGTCGCTCTGCAGTGGATACACCAGGCTACTGCGGAGATTGCTGAGCCCGCACTACAAGGGTTCACGGCTGTTCGACATCCCGGCACCCTTTGTCCATGTTGCGACTGGAAAATGGAGACTTGAACTTCAAGCGGCTAAGAGCAGAATGGGTACATTGGTCGCCATGGCCAGAGTATCCCCTGCCGCCCTTTGGGCTGTTCTCCAGGAGGAGCAACAATGGATGAAAGTTGTGCTAACGGACCTTGCAATGGTCAAGGCCAAGTACGACGATCTGCCGAACCTACGGGCAGCATCATGGCCAGAGTGGTGGAACTACTTGCGGGATTTCGGCGACAAGTTCAAGCAGCGAGTCAAACGAGCCCTACAAGCACGACATGATGAATGGTGCAAGACGGAGGTGCTCCAAGTTGGATTGTGGGGTATGTATCGGCAACTTCAGAAGCTACGACAACACACCCCCCCGGCGACTACTATGTGGGGGTGTCGTTGCTGCAAGAAGTCCTACAAATCCAAAGGAGGCCTTGGAGCCCACATGTTTAAGCGACATGGCCGATGCGCTGCCTACAGGACATGTGTGCAAGGTTCAGTATGTGCTGCATGTGGGAGGCAATACTGGACGACGGAACGGCTGAGCACGCACATGCGTGACTCGGCTGGATGTGTGGCTTGGCTACGTGCTCGGGGACGCCTGGCGCCCAACATCCTACCCGGCAAGGGCAGCAGGGAATTCCAGAAAAGAGCAGTGGAGGAATTTAATCTTGCCCCGACGCAACAAGTGCAGGAACCTATGCTGGATGAGGCACCGGTTGTCTGGACTGACGTACAACGAACGGCGTACAGGACTACCTGCCACCGTCTACTGGAAGAAACAGCCTGGCCGAACGCACAGGCGATTCAGGACTGTATCCTTCATGCGCTGGAGGAGGAGGCCCTTTACTTCCACGAGGAGCAGGACATTGTCAGCCAGATCGCGGAGGACATTGACACCCTGTGGTGCGACGACCCACATGGGCACTGGGAGCCGGTGACCTTTGCTCTGCTGAGGGCTACCATGAGCCAAGCGGGACAATGGCATGTACCGTTCGTTGATGAATCTCAGAGGGCCGAAGAGGCTGAGACCTCACTGGCGGATTTCATCGCCAGAGCAAACCCACCGGAGTGGGAATCCCTGATCAGGGAAAGGTGGGAGCAATGCGTGACCCCCGATGCTGCTTCGTTCAAACTGGACTCGAAATGGGAAGCTTCAGAAGACGAGTCAAGTGAAGCACCGAAGGCTGAAGCCGCGTTGACTGACCCCTTGTGTTTTGTTCCTAAGCAGGTGAGGGCATTGTGGAACGGTGTGCTCAACGGAGCTGTGTCTACCGTCTATGCCCCGCCTAGCTTTTGGACCAGCCAGTACGGCCTAGTGTTTAAAGGCTTACAGGCGCCTTGCATTTAATTAGCGCTGCGAACACCACTGAATGCCTCGAAATGCCAAAATATATATATATATATGCTACCCCCCTCAAGGATCTACCGTTTTCGTGTGTAGAGTACCATCTATATACATATATATATATATATGTCTACGTAGCGCTTGTGTTTCAGCACCGAAAGCCCGAAAACCGGAGGAGCTCTCTGCTTTGCCAATGAGAAATAACTGTGCTCTGTTGTATGGTAGAGCTGCTGGTTGTAATTAAAGTTCACCACAAGACAAGGAATTAATAGCCAGCGCAATGTCAGGACTCAACGAGAGAAATCAAATGGGAATAAACGTAAGTTTTATTTAGCGAAACAAGACACGCGAGAACTCATCCTCTACTTTCACTTAACTAAACATTCGATTAAGCCATTAGAATGACACGGAAGCGCTCTATGGGTTCTGCGTTGCGCTATGTTGCATTCCCTCATTGCATTCGCCCCGACCTGTAATCCCGGACAGGTGTCCTCCATCCATGATTTCCGACAGGGTCTACCTAAAGGCTAAAAGTTTCCAGATGCTGCGAACAACCTACGACGTGTTTTTTGAGGATCTTTGAAAAAATCTTGACTTGAGACAAAACCTTCTCAGGGCCCTAGAGTATTGATAGACGGCGTCCTGGAGAGGCTCCAGCTCCATGCCCTCCTCTAAGGCCATCGCCGTCTTCGCGAGGCCTCCACATGCCCAGAAGGGTTTTCAAATCTTTGGAATATATTTCCATTAGAATCTATTTTTTGGTTGAGGGTCTAAGGAGTCTAGGGTATTGTGGCCTAGCAAGAGTTACCCGCCCTAACCTCCAACGCTGGTAGAGTTATTTTGATGTGGACTATAAGGGGACATTGTCACTCATGGCTCAGACCTCTGTCGGTTTAGGGCTTAGTGTCTGTATTCTTTGGGCTGCAGGGCTTCGGGGTTCTGGGGGACCAAGCAGAATCACGTAATCCTATGCCACAAGTGCGGGGATCCTTCTGGCCTGGAGCAGGTCTACACCCTTAACTGCTTTAGGACACCAGGAGGATCCCCGCTTCAGGGAACCGCCCTGGCTCCGAACGTAGCCCAAATAACTAGTAATAATACATATTCCCGAACTTTCCTTATGAGTATACTATACCCCCCAAAAACCCTCCTACAGGCCTCGCTCATTATCCAGGCCCCGGTATGAATGCCCAAGCCCTCCATGACTGCAGGCGAAGAGTTCGACTTCTTCTCGACATGTCCGAAGCGCAGACTCTCACTCGACTCGACCCGATGAGAGCGCAACTGTCGCATGTAATCGACAATCATCGGTCATGTGGCTTTGGGGTTTAGGGCGCCCCAAACCTTAAACCCAAACCGAAACTGGGTTTGGGGTGTAGGGAACCCTCCTCAAATTAAATTCCCCAAGGCCGTCAAGCCCTCAATGCCTGCGCGGGAGATGACGCCGTAATATTCGCCAGAAGCCTGGGTCGCGCTAAGCTTTCAGGTTTAGGGTTTAGGGCCGGTCGCAGGCTTGAGGGATCAGAGGAATTCGGGTTTGGGGCTCTGTGGATGGCTTGCATGCATACTGTAAGACTCTAGTGTTTACAAAAGGGCTGCGCAAGGCGTGACTGTATACTGATTCTTGAAACTCCCACGTGGCAGCTACCCGCCATATTCCGACCCCACAGTAACAAAAAAACAGGGCTAGACGGGAAGGTGGTACCTTCAACACCCTAAGCCCTCTAAACACATCCAAACCCTACAAACCCCTGACCCGTAAACCCCAAACAAAACCCAAACAGAGCTAAGGAAGCTCTAGACCGTACATCTTGCCTGCATTTAGGATTCAACATCCCCTTTAAACCCGTGAACTACGCATTTGCCAGGAACCGAGGCGCCGACTGTGCTGTGGACTCGTGCCACACGGCTACCCCAGATTGCAAACTTGAATCCCTAAACCCTAAACCCTAAAAAACCCTGAACCCCAAAACCCTGAACCCCCCAGCCCTTGTCCTCACACTCCTGCAAACCAGGGTCACCTGTTGTTTCTGGGCTCATAGGGTCTTAAGATTTACAGGGTTCGGGGTGTAGGGTAGGATTTAGGGACTTACAGGGCTAGTTCAAGACGAGAAGCCGTAAGAACGCACGCAGCTCGGAGCTGAGCTTTTGCAAAAAGCACGTAGAAAGAGTCGGCCGGAGCGTCCTGAGCTAGGGAGGGCTAATACCGCGAGACCCGAAAATCGACTTTCCGCCCAAAGGTTGGAACCTCAAGAGAGAAGGTTCGGTAGTGTCTGAGTCGGGTTTAGGGTTCAGCAATCATTGTTCTCGCCTTGCATGTTCAAACTCTTCCTCCCACTAAGTGCGTGCAGCGAGTGCGGTTTCCACAAGGACAACGTCAAGGACCCACAAAAACCCCCAAAGCCTGATCCACACTAGAATCCAAAGGCCCCTCGTTGATAAAGAGGGTCGTCTTTACAGTATCCGGCATGCCGACATGAGAACCGGCCCGCATTTGGTTCAATCACACTTACTGATTGAACAGGCATGTTCTGCGGCCGGTCCCAGTTGTCAATAGCATCTCAAACTATCAATACCTGGCGTAAGGGTTGATTTGTAGATTAACCGATAGTTCTGCGCAAGACTGCAAGTATCACTGGTTCTGACCAGAATTTCGGAACTATAGTCACCTTGCCTATGGCCCTAACGGGACCAAACTTCATCACAACCCGCGGACAGCCAAGTAGTCGGGAACAAAGACAACTAAAACGCCCGAGCCGCCCTCACAATCTCACCGAAGCCCCTGCCCTAAGAGCCCCAAGCCCAAAAGTTCTAGTCCCCGAAACCAGAGACCGAACCCCCTCCAGAAACTGAGCCCTGGGTTCTTCTTGCGACCGCATGCACCATGTCCATGTCACCACCCATAGTGACGTCTATAACATCCACAACAAGGAAAGCACTTTACAGCAGAGTTGGTTATGTTGGTTTTTGGGGCAACTACAGGGAGTTGACTTAGGTCCAACAAACTGCGGCTGAGCTGCTGCCTGGATCCTGGGGCGTGGGTTTACTGTTTACGGGCTTGTTCAAGATCATCACGAGTCTCGTCCGTATGAGTTTCTGAACGTTTGTTCGGGGCTCAAGTTTCGGATAAGCTCTAGATTTGAGCCCCAAGTCAAGTCCTGAGGCACCCCAGCCAAATCGGCGAAACCACAGAAGCCACAGCTCAGGGGTTTTGTGTAGAGCCCTAAACCCTAAACCCTAAACCCTGGAGGTTTAGTGGTTCAAGGCCTGGAGCAGTTGAGATTCGTACTGTTGAACTAGCAAACATTACACTTGGAAGCTCTAAACCTTAACTTGGTTTAGGGTTTAGGGCATGTTATGGACTTCAGTTGTTAACATGCGCTGGAAGCCTCTCGCCGCCTGCTTGTTGCATTTCCTCTCCATACTGCAGTTCAGCAGTCCTTATATCAAAGATCCTACTACCTCGGCACTCACCCTCGAAATGCCCACCTGCTATCAGGGTCTGCATCAGGGCTCCTCGAATGCTGCAACTCCTGTACCCGAATCTACCAGCGAATTTGTGATATCGTCCGGCGTCTTTTTCAGCCACACTAATCACACAACATATCCACCCAAACCGTGTGCAGGACACGCATCAAAACCCAACCGGACTCTTTTTACACTCGGACTTATGGAAACACATGTGTTTTTGTGCCACGAACCCCCTCAATTTCAGCCGCCACCCCAGCCACCAACCTAGCCCTCAATCCCTCCCTCGTCCATCCTCCTCCACCCCAACCCTAGCCCAGCCGCAGCCCCTTGCCCCAGCTAAACCCTTAACAATTTCTATAAACCCTGAACCCTAAACCCTAAGCTGACTCTTGAAGGAAGCGCTGGCGGTAAGAACCGAGAACTTCCAAAATCCCTTAATTAAGGAACATACCTTTAATTAGCTTAGGGATCCCATTGAATCGTAAACTACTTCAGGGATATTGGAAGATTTGAGTGTGGTTGGGGGTGCTAAACCCTGAGCCACTGTTTTGAGGAGGTGCCGAAGTCTTTCAATCCCGGAGACCCAGAACACTTCAGAACCCCAAACCATAAACTGGAAACCCTGATTGGAAGAGGAGGAGCGTGATGTTGGGAGGGTCGGCCAAGCTGTCAGCTGGCACAACGCCTGAATGAACGGCTTAATTGGGGGATTTGGGGTTTCGGGTTTGGGGTTAAGGGTGAACTGGAGGGCGTTGGGTCTCGGCTTCGGGGATGCCCTCACCCTTCAGCTCCGCAACTACTGCTTGCCAAATCACCAGCCCCCGCAATAACATTCCTCTGAAAATGTAACCTGCGAAGTTTTTATACACTTTACACCTTGCTCGGAACTGCAACACTCCGGACTTCACAGGTTACGGACTTTCAATCTCAGTGCCAGCCTTGCAGATGCCAGCACCTAGCTTGCAAGACTCGAGAAATCAGACACTCAAACTCGAGAACCCACACCCCTAAAACTCAAACCCCAAATCCCGAAAGGACTAAGCTAGAAAACTCCAACACTCGAATTCGTCGCCTCCCAAAGCAAAAAAACACTGCAACGCCCGCATAAAACCGGTCTTACCACGAAAATGCTTCTGAATCCCGTATTAACCTATAATAAAGCCTTGATAAAACTGTACATAGCCGTTTGAAGCTCTGCAAAGCTCACAGCTGCAAAGCACCTCCCTCAGCAGCCCGCACTGCGGCGTCCAGGCGCGTCCGCGGGGCCAGCCCTAAACACCTTCAGAACTTCAGGAAGTTACATCGAGGTGATGGAGGAACTCGGGCTTTGGAGCTATGGTGGAGGGTTTGGTCGAGACTCACGGACGGGAAAGAGTTTAGGGTTAAGGGTTCAGGGCTTACGCAGCGGTAGAAGGATTGGTAGTGGTTGTCGTACTGGCAGTGGCAGTAGAAGTTGTAGACGAATCCGCCCCCAGCCCTAAATCCTACACAAGGTTTGTTTCCACAGCCGATACTGGCCATGATGCTTTTGCTCCTGCAGAGCTGCTGAGCTAATACCGTCTGGGCATTATCACCACAACATGTGTGGTCATGACATGAAGTGGTGGTTTCAATCATGATGGTTTGGCACTCAAGCTTTAAAAGATTTGGCTCATGGGAAGGTACACATAGTACACATGTCCTAAGGTCTTCATCTCATAGCAGCTTACATGTCTCAGAGTGGCACGCATGCACAAAATTCCGCAGAGTCCTCAGCCATGTGCGGGACTGGCCTTCGCGGGCCATCGCCTTCCGAGGTTCGGAAGAGCGACAAGGGCCGACTGCATTTAGGAAGACTCTTGCATCTGTAAAGCCAATGTAATCCTTCCTAGCTGATATACTCTACACCCTAAACCGTCTCTTGTACCCCACCCCCCCTCCACACGCACACATAGGTGGGCCGTTTAACCCTTTGAAACATTATTAGGCGATCTTCTTGCAGAAAGGACAGGTTCAGAATATCTATCTAGCCTCCCTAGAAGCTAATTGGGGGTTAGTGACTAACTATCCAGGCATGGTTCTCCACCCCAGCCAAGGTGAGGCCACCATCCGACAAGTGAGCAAGTCTCATCCCCCATAGGGTTTCGTCTAGGGCTTAACGCGGAGCATTTAGGGTTGACTGGTCAGCGCTAGAGGATTAGGGTTTATGGCTAAGGGACCCGGGATCTCAGGGTCTCCAGTTTGGAGGTTTAGGGTTTACTAAACCCAATCCTTTCCGCCAAACACGCCCGAACACGGAGAACAGCTGCAAAAGCCCAAAAACCCGAAACCATCAACAACACAAAACTACCCAAACTCCCGGGTTCACTTGAGGTTGTTTTGAATGTTACTCTTAGGCTTGCCTTAGACATGCATGAAAGGCAAGGAACCGAAGCTGGAACCGCGAACCTCGAAACCGAACCGCAGGAACCGCCGGAGAAACCAAACCGCATGAACCCGAACCGCTGTTTCAAAACGAGCCGAACCGAACCGTTACATTCATGTTTAGAGGCTTCGCCAGCCCCAATGCCAAAGATCCCGGGCCTGGTGCTGAGAAGATTGGTAGGAAGGGCGCCTCCGGCTATGTTTAGGGGTTTAGGGGTTTAGGTTTCACTGCTTCCTGTCCTTTGCGATGTAGCTCCTTCTTTCCTTTTCCCTTGCCTCTTTCCCTTTACGGGCTTCTATTTTAGGGTTTGAGGGGACGTCTTTTCGTGTAGTAGCAGGCGAATTGGTGTCGTCTTACTGGGTTTTAAGGGCTTGCTGCTTCTCGGAATGCAAGGCATAATGTGGGGGCCTTCAGAACTAGAATAGGGTTTTGGGGGTATTCTACAACAATTACAATAAGGCACCCCCCAAAATAGTATTGGTTATTACTCAGGCCATTATATTAGGTTCAAGGAGCTTGACGGCTCTTGGGGCAGGTCTAGCGTTGAGGGGGTTTGAGGTCAAGTTTCGGAGCTCTGCTTTCGGGTACCCGGGTCATTTTTAGGGCTCCGAGGTGTGTTTCAGCACTCACTCTCGGACTTGCCTAGGCGAGGTGTGTGTTTAGGGTTTAGGGGTTTAGGCATAGGGTTTAGGGAGTACAGAATCACGAGAGATGATTGTCTTTACATGTAATCCGGGGTTTAGGACCTAGGATTCACGGTTGTAAGTCCCTTGTTGCGTTCGATGTGTGAGGAGGGTGTGCTCGCTGAGGCTTTGCGATTCCTTTGAACTCCAGTACCCTTGGCATTAACGAACCCTAAACCCCTAAACCCTACCTTCTGGAAGGGCCACTATGCAAAAATCTCCGCTCCGCTATAAGGGGGTTTCCGAAAATAGGGGACCCTGATATAGTACCCTAAGTAGTAGGATCCTTATTATAAGGACCCCCAAATAAGGTACCCTAATTTTCGGAAACTCCCATAATGTTATGAGCCCCAAACCCGAAACCCTGGGTCCAGGCCCCAGAGCCACATACACCCTAAGCAGTAATCTCGGTCAGCAGGTCCGGCACATCTGAAGGAGGGTCGGGGCTCCCAACCATAGCTACTGGTGATGATATAAATCCTGCATTACCTGAAGCACCCTGAACTATGGGAATTATTGCATGTGCCTCATTATGGGTAATGCAGGATTTATTTCATCAACCGTAGTTTTGAGTCGATCTGAGGGTCTGGGAGGAGGAGGAGAAGGAGGAGCCTTAACTCTGTCTGCCCAAAGGGCCGCAATGTTTAGAAGTGGGGCATAGTCCAATAATATGTGAAGGCCAGTCGGGCGTCTTGTTGCCGACCTCTATAACATATACATTATCCAAGCTTGGTGTCCCAAATCCCCAAACCCGAAGCTCTAAGCTCGGACTTTCAACATCTTGCAGGTCTGAATGATCCTTGGCCCCAAACCGTAACACTCTAAAGCCACCAGAGCCTAAACCCGTAAAACAAACACCCGTCAAACCCTATGTTTAAGGCTCGGGGCCTAAAGCCTTTCGTGCCCTTGTGCTTCAAGTCAGAACTCTAAGCCCAAAGCGCCATCACGGCCTGATCCGTGCCAAATCCAAATTTGATCTGCGCGGTTGCTCTATCAAAGAACTGGTAGACTGACCGTTCGTGGCAAGTGCAGGAAATGGCCCTTTAAGAAGACACGTCTCATGGCAAGGACAGGCAGGCGCCTGCGTCTCGCGGAGCGCCTCGACTACCTGTTCAGAGAATCTAGGCGAGCGCGTAGGTCATCTAATTTCATCAATCATCTCCCCTCCTGATCCTCCTCCTCCTCCTCCATCAACATCACCATCGTCATCATCACCATCATAATCGTCGTCGTCATGGCGATCTCTTCTTCATCATTAGCAGCATCATGCTCTTGATCCTCGGGCCACCACAGTCTAGTCAACCTCAGTGTCCCATCACCAGCAACATGACATGCTGTTTGAGATCATAAGATCAGCATCACCATTGCTTGACAGCTTATGTCCAGCTTCGCATGGACAGTCCTCGTCTTCCGACGTCCGTGGAACACAGTTTCCATGCTCTGCGCAGCCCCTTCGACACAATGACAGTCAACACAAAGACTCCACAAACAATCCCAATCCCCAAATCTTCATGACCTCAAAAGACACCACACTTCTTCGCGTGTTTCTGTTTGGGAAACGTATGCGAAGCCATGCAAGTCGGTAAGAGATAGTCGGTAAGGGATGCCCAGCATGCTCCTCTCAGTAGCCTTATGTAGGATCCTTCGGAAACCTCACAGCCTGCAACTCTAAAACCCCAACTAAATGAACATCTTATGAACCTTTATAGAAATCATCATAAATCCCAAGATCCTTCGAACCTGCGCGGACGTCGGCCGCGCGGGAAGGCGAGACTGCACTGGGAGGTCGTCGACGAGCTGCCGAGCTGCCAAACGTCGGACCTTTGAAGGATCCTTAAGGGATCCTTCTTTACGAGTTTCTTAAAGGCTTCCTTAAGGGTTCCGGTAGGGACCTAAACCCTAAACCGTAGGTGGGGAGTTCAACATGAAGTGGTTTCTGCATCCTGAGGGTTTTATAATGGTTTACGGTTGCCAGGGATTTCTTTTAAAGATTTAGACGGGCTTTGTGGGGGTAGGGTTCTTTTACAGCATGCCGAAAAGGGCTTTGTAAGGGTTAAGGGGGTATTGTAAGTATGGGGTTTGAGCAAGGTAACTGTCGATATATCATACTTGATTCTACTTGTAACCAAGTTTCCGTTACATATAACCCTACTTAGGAACTAGTTACTAAATGCCCTGATCAGTTAAGAAGCAAGTTGAGTTTACGGTTTAAGGCTTCGGGGTTTAACCCTATACCCTAAAGCCTGAAAACCCTAAATACAAGCCTTAAGCCCCCAAATCCCAAAGCCGTCTTCCGCACACCACAAAACGCCTATCCCCAACATCACCAAAGCCCTAATCTTAAAACCCCAAAACTCTCCAAACCCACAGGTTCCCATAACTCCTCATCCCGACAGAGGGTACTTGTTCATAAAATCGACGGTGGGTTTGCACAATCAGAATCCAGTGTTTGCGGGTTTCGAGTTTACGGGTTCTTTCCTAACGCGGATTTAGGATGTTGGGTGGTTGTGCAGTTCTCAAGGGTTCTAGAAATCCTAAACCCTAAACCTCATCACGGTAAAGCTCAAGGCTTTTGTGTATCGATCTCTCACTACAAGAAGGAACGGCTCCGGTTTAACTAATGTCGCCGGGAAAGTGACTGGAGTCTGCGGATTCAGTGTCCTGAGGCTTTGAGCTTAACTTTGACGGTGAGTTCCAAGGCGAGAGGCCTATGCAAAGGTGGAGGCTCGACGCCTCGGAGAATAATGTTCGTGCTCCCTCAAACGATAAGCCTTAAAGCCCTAAACCCTACAATCTGTGGAAAGTGACCCCAAGTGTGAAAAGTTCAGGACCTCTGGGCTTTAAAGGTGTCGGGTGGACTCCTAGGGAGCGGAATGGGTGATTACTCTTCTTCTATCTATCAACAGGACATAGCTCAAAGCCTCACGACCTGAGACCCTAGCGTCTAGAGCGCGGCTTAGGGTATAGGATTTGGGGCTTATAGACTTAGACTGCCCAAACCATGTCCCCGAAGCCTATTTCGTCCTCGACTTGATAAGACATGTTGGGGGTTTCCGAAAATAGGGGACCCTAAGATAGTACCCTAAATAATAGGATCCTGATTATAAGGAACCCCCAAATAAGGTACCCCGTACCCCTTATTTTCGGAGACTCCCATGTGGGTGTTTAGAGGCTTGGGGTCTCCCTGGGGCCGTGGCTCAGACTGAAGTGCATGTGGGAGTTTCCGAAAATAAAGGATACCTTATTTGGGGGTCCTTATAATAGGGATCCTACTATTTAGGGTGCTATATTAGGGCCCCCTATTTTCGGAGACCACCATGTGTATCCTCAGTTTAGGTCTGCAGGGTTCAAGGGTGTAGGTGTTTAGGGGCTTGAGGTTTAGGGTTTTAGGGTTTATGGGTTGCCGTGAAACCTTGCTAGAGTTTGGGCACACCCGTGGCCTTAACCCTAACATAGAGGTCGGGATAATCAGTCATGTATCCTTCTTGTTTACATAAGTTCATCATAGTGTACTATGCCCGAGCCCTGCGAAAACGATTCCCCCCTTTCTCACACCAAGACACTGGCTTACAGGGCTCTGCAGATAGGTAATGCGCTTTCTTCCGCAAGATCTGCGCCTTGCCGGTGTCTCAGGTGTGGGGCTTTCAGGGTTTAGGGCGTGTGGTTGAGGGTTTAGGGTTTAGCTTGGGGCGTATGGTTGTTCCAGGTTTATTGTTGAGGGCAGCTTAGGGTTTTGGGGTTGATGGTTTAGCCTGAGTTCGGCTTAGCTTTAGGAAGGCGTAGGCCTGCCTTTCTCAGTTTGCCCTCTGCAAAAAACTCAGGGTGGTCATATGGGGGTTTCCGAAAATAGGGGACCCTAATATAGTACCCCAAATAATAGGATCCTTATTGTAAGGACCCCAAAATAAGGTACCCCATTTTCGGAAACTCCCATATACCCTTCATCCCAAACCCTAAAACCCTAAGCCTTTCTTGTTTTTTACATCTGGACTTGATGAATGCTCTGAATCCAAAACCCTAACTCCTCAATCCGACAAGCTCGAACCCTGACCCCAATGGCCCTAAAGATTGTACTGTAGGGGCTTGAGCAGGGCCCGGAGTAGAAACCGTGGCAGTCGTCTGAAGTGGGACCCTACTTGGGGTGCTCGCAGACAGGTCTCTTGCTTAAGGGTTTTAGGGTCGGTGGGCTTTCTGTATTTGGGGTTTTTGGGTAAGGGGCTTTAGGGCTTTAGGGTTGGCTTCCCTGCTCAAGGTTGACCGCGTGGGTTTAGCACGACTCTTAGCCCCAAAAGGTTCATTACCTACAGGGCCACTCAAGCCTTCTTGACAATTCCGGGCCTACAGCTCAGTGGTCGTAGGATGCAGGGTTTCAACTTCAATGGTACAAAGAATGGCTCGAAGGGCTGCGCAAAGCCTCGTCGAATGCGATGGGAGACCCGATGATCTTATGGACGAACAAGGACACCGTCACCTCGGTTTGGGCAGCAGTCTGAAAAACCGGCATTGTACTGAACCTAGCAAATCAAGATACGAGTTGAAACCTAATTGTGTGTGTGTGTGATGAACGGGCAAGGGTTCCTACTACACGATACCTAGTTCAGGGATTTTGCAATTTTCGGCTGCATTTCCAATCGATTTCGTATACTTGCAGGGTCAAAAAAGGCATCGGTGACCGTGGACATGGACGCAGCGGTAGTCTGCAAATGTCTCCGAAACCGGAGTAAGTGCAGCATGCGTGCTGCCAGCATCAGCACCGGCACCAGTTCAATATTGTTGGATGCCTGGCCAAGAGAGGGGCGTGCACCTAATCACTGTCGAAACCTAAGCCTTAAACTGCCCCTAGACATTCCCAGCCCTCAACCACCAGATCCCAAACTGCAGAATCGAAAGAGCGAGTGAGAGTGTGAGGCAGACTTCCAGTGAGCGAGATAGAGAGAGAGGGAGCAAGGGAGAAACAGAGGCAAACCTTTTTTGTTTGCATGGGGGGCTGCTAGCTTACGGATCCGCGTAGCACGGTTGGGAGTTTCACTAGACGTTGCACGGAACCGCGCGGAACAGTATTCCTAACTACCCAAGCGCAATAATATAATTTTTTTGGCGTTCAGCACCTCTGGTCCGCGGAGACAGCCCGAGCGCGCCAAAGGTCAAAATCTGGTGCTTCTCAGGCAATGTTCAAGCTCTTGCGAGTGTTGCGGCCTTCAAGAGAATACGTATGTGAGCTCGACCCTAGCAGCGATGGAAGCCGAGTTTCAGAGAATGGCATGGGCCACGAAAACATGTGATAGGCAACATGGTATTCATGACTAGGATAGCAGTTTATGTGCCAGACATGCAAGCAGCAATGGTTAAGATGGCAAAACAAAATCTTATAAGGAAGGACCCATTATGGGGGTAGGGGGGAGGGGGGTAGGGGGGAAGTAAGGACCTAATAAAGCCTATTTAAGGAAGTATAGTGCCCTACCCTTTTGCCCCCTTACCCTGCAGGCGTCCCTATGAAAATAGGGCAGAATTGCCAATAACAGTGGGACCAGAACTGCAGTGATCGGGGTCCTGGTTCTGTTCCCTGCGCATGACATGATACTCCTGAGGTCTGTCGTGAAATTTCAGAGCAGTCAAAGTCCAAAAAGCTTTCTGCTTTGTGGAGATGTAATCAGGGTTAAAGGTTTGCGTGGGTTACGGGCTTCTGTTCAGGGAGCAGCCTTGCCGAACTCTAAGACACACATAACTACCCAAACGTTCAGGTTGCTTGCATGCGCCTGGCAGATGAACACCACCACAGCCAAGGTCATGTGTTTGAAGCCTGAAAGCATCGACGGTGAATGTCAGAAAGCTGGAACATGGATTGAAGATGATTAGTGCTCGGGTTCCCTGTTGCTCTACCTTGTCCTGAACCCGAAGCCACAAGGGCATGAGAATTTAGGGTATAGGGTTTCATAGGCAGGAAACCGAACAATGTGGATCTTCTGGCCTTCTGGGTAGTAGCGAGGCCTTGCGGGCTCTATTGCAGCATAACTACAACGATATAGGGACTGGAAGGAAACTCTAGCACAAAGTCTTCCAACCCGTATCGTAAGCTGCCAGGGTTTGTGTTCCGTCGGATCTCAAAGTCCCTGGTTTAGCGCATGTGGCTCAGGAGTTTAGGCTTCGCTCGAGCTCGAGTGTGTAGGGCCTGGGGCTTCGGAAGCTTAGGGTTGGTTTTCGTGGGACTTGCAGGATTTAGGGGGGCCTTTTGTAGGGTCTTTTTGGTTTAGGTCTTTGGTTCGAGGGTGTACGGGATTTGCGGGTTTTGTGGGGCTTGTCGGGTTTATAGGGCTGCGGACGGTGTTGGTTCGACTGATAGCTTGACATTCTGACACAGGATCCCTAGATGCGAGTTTCACAGAATATCAAAAGACCGGAAACATCAACTAGTGGGACGTGTACTAACATCGATATGATAAAGCTGCTGCTAAGAACCTCCCACATTCCTTGCAGCCGTGCAGCTGCAGAGCATTGCTGCAGCACCTTCACAGGAGAATGCTATGCCAGTGACCGGAGGCATGGGAAGCTCCGGAAAAGTTAGTGTCTAGTCTTTGTCTCGGATCTTCTTTAAGTGCCTTATGACGGCGTTGCAGATTGTAGCGTGCAGGGTTCAGGGGTGTTGCAGGGCACGGCTTTTGAAAGTGTGAAGACCTACGAACGGGAGAAAGGTCGGTGGGTAGTTGCACAGACAGGGTGTAAGCCCTGAAACTGTTGTAACATGTTACACGCCACCATACCGATTATCACGAGACTGCCTAACACTGCCCACGCCCCGAACAAAGAAATGAAGACAACCCATCCCAATACCTCTTGCCTTTGGGACGGTAGCAAAGGTTTGTGTAAGGGCGTTGTAAGTGCTACAGTGCTTTGATATTTTTTGTGCATACAGTTTCGCTTCTCGGGCATACAGAGGTTTCAGTTCGGGATCCATGGTAGGTGTTCTGAACAGTGGTCTAGCAACCCATGCTATGTTTACAAGAATACAAGAACGATCCGGTTGGGGGTGCGTGTAATGGTGTGGTTACAGCAACGATTCGTGTACCTTCAACTACGAAAGCACTAAAGTCCAGCTGAAACACTAACGAACGAAAACATGCACGGAAGTCAGCTGACGGCAACGTCGTGCCGTAAGCCCAAACCTTAAAACCAGGAACCTGTGCACCCAAAAGCACCAAACTGGGCTTCGGGCGTAGGGTTTTGGGTTTAGACTTAGGGTAAATACAACCAGCTAAACCTGAAAACCCAGAGACTTCCAACCCCAGAGCCCCATGTTGAATCCGCCAGAGCTTCAAAACTCGAGCCTCTTCAAGCCCACCCCGAAATCTGAAGCCTTCCATCAAAAGCCGGAAGCCCTAAAGACCAAAGCCCAAAAGCCCGAAATACTAAGACCTGAACCCTTAGTCCAAAACGGCTAAACCCGAAGGTCCTAAGGCCCAACACCCCGAGCCATCCTTATGCGACCTTTCGAGCCTTGGGCTCAAGGCTCCCGAGGCTCCAGTGTTGAAAGCTAACTTTCGGTTTAGGGTTTAGGGTTTAGGGTTTAGGATTTAGGGTATCTGTGAACCTGAAGAGGCCCGACATTACCAAACTCTACTTTTGCAGATGGTGGGCATCATGAGATTTTGGGCTTAGTTTGCGGTTGGTATCAGGTTCATGAAGCACCCTAACACCCACAAACACCCTTCAACAATCTTCACTGCTTCAGAAACATCAAGCCGTCGTGGCCTACCATCGCATAGATCCCGGCAGAGGTGAACGATGCTTCCGGCAGTAGTAATGCCTCAGTCTCCAGGGTCCAGATTGTAGGCTTGTTTTTCTTTTGGTGGTTTAGGGTTTTCTATCTTAAAGTGCAAGGGACTGTCGCTTGCGTGTAGGGGGGTAGGGTTTAGGGCTTTTTACGGGTTGAGGGTCCAGGATTCAGTGTTCATGGTCTATATTCTGCCGGAAGGCGTCAAGGCTTGACATGGCTATGAATATAGATATAACTAACCATAGTTGACCTACTTACAACCCTACTGACCAAGTCTCCTAACCCCTCAAGTGCCTGATCCATCAAGTAGTAAGTAGGGAGTAGGGTCGGTTTAGGGTAAAGGTCAATGGAATTCTGGGGCTTCCGAACGGCTTTGTATGCGGGCACCTTGCTGACATGTCAATTTGCATCAGTTTACTCCTTTTGTCACCAGGACCCCTTGGAAAAAATCTGACCTTTACTAGCTGCTCTTTGTACCAGGGTGCTGGGTTGGCGTTAAGCAGCCTTGGAGGGGGTTTGAAGCCCAGTCCAGCCCAGAGTTCGACCCGAAGTCTGCGGAATTGCCGGGAACGCTGTGAGGTTTAGGAACTTCGCAGTACAAGCAGTGTAGGAGCGAGATGTGCACCCTAAGCAATGAACTCCCTAACAATCACATGGCCCTTCGTGTCCGAGGAGCTTATGTTGCGCTCTGTTGCCCTGAAGATGGGTTTCTGACACTCACACTCGGACAAGCCTGGATGGGTTTAGGGCTTAGGATTTAGGGGTCTGATGGTTACGCGTCATGGTTTGAGATGAAAACTAAGACTCCACCCGTGGAGACGCACACATTTCACAACAGAGCACTATACTACTGCTTCGATGTCGGAGTTTTGCGGTGTAGGGCTAAGGCATTTACGAGTTCATGGAGACTGACGCGCTGCTAAGTTTCTGTCCAGGCACCCACAGTTTAGGGATGTGTATCCAGCCCATGATGTCATACGTACAGCCATACTTCTACCAGTCTTCTCGAAAAGCTAAGCCCAAGTGGGCTCTTGATTCAAAAAGAGGACAGTCGTTGGCCCCTGCTTTAGGTTCCGTCGAGATTCCTGGCAGTGCCCGAAGAGTCTGCCTGTCAGTCCTCCGATCAACCTCAGGAACATGAGCCCACAATGTCTAGGGCTTTGAGGTCTAGAGGTGTAAGGTATGGGAGCCTGAGCAAGCAGAATGGGGCTTCTTTTGGGGGGTTTTGGGGGCACAAGAATGTGCTTGGTGATCTTCTTGCTGTAAGGAAGTTTTCTACTGCCTCCCTAAAACCTAAACCCTAAACCCTAAAACCTAAACCCTAAACCCTAAAACCTAAACCCTAAACCCTAAAACCTAAATCCTAAACCCTGAAACCTAAACCCTAAACCCTAAAACCTAAACCCTAAACCCTAAAACCTAAATCCTAAACCCTGATGGCTTAAAACTTGTTCCTAATTTCTAGAAATCTTGGGCAAAAGGCCCTCCGCCGCGCCCGACCCTGCAGCTGGTTTGGGCCGCTTTGAGGTCAGGTTTCAGGGTTGAGGGTTGAGGGTTTAAGGTTTAGGGTTTTCAGGGTTTGTTAAGGTTTGGGGCTTGGAGTTTGGGCTTGCGGCTTCGGAGACGTGCATGACATCAGTCGGCAGTCGACATGTTGAGGGCTTCACAAAGGGGCCTTAATGCTCGGCATGGGTCTTCGAGGTATGGTGTGTAGTCAGAGCCAGTGTTATGGTCAGCACATGTTAGGCAGCGAAGAAAGCACTAACAGGACTCCACAAAGATCGCTGCCATTAAAATTTAAATTAAGACATTGCGAGGGTAGGGGGATAAGCAGACAACCCAATGAGGGTTGATCAGTCGACATGCAAAGGAGCAATCCGAAGCTGTCCCAGCCAGAGGTTCAGCGAAATGTTTGCGTCGGACGTGTGCGAAACTCGCGACAAAGGCTTGTTTGGGCCCACAGTTAGCGGTGACCGGGGTCCTCACGAGCTTGTACTCGTGCCTGGGTGTGAGGTGCCGACTATACGATGTCCTTCCCTCGAAATTCACTGTAAATCCTTAAGCATCTTAAACGAGAACGTTGTCCACAAATCTTGAGCTCGAAGGTCTGCGATTATGGAATGAAGGTTCCAGGGTGTATGTTCTCTTTGGAGGTTTTATCGCCTGAACCCTGACATTAAGATTAAGGGGTTGGGGTTCAATCTTTTGCCTAAAGAGTTTGATTAGGGTTCAAGGTTGAGGGTTCAAGGTCTAGTGTTCGGGGTCTACGGGTTTTGAGCCTTCTGCCCAGGCGCATAGTACCGGTGAAGTTGCCAGATGGCACCGGCAGCCCAGCGAAACCGATGTTCAGGGTGGTGTACGCCAAGAGCCTCCATGCGTTTCCTCTAGACCTGTATTCCCACTAGTAGATAAGCAACAATAGTTAGATAGATCCCTTTAAAGGAAACCATAACCTAACACAGCAATGAAAAGCTAAAAACAGCACCCAAAGAGTCGTAAAGAGACGGCTCCGGAAAGACAAAATGAAGTTTGGACTCAGTTTTAGCGTTGACGAGGCTTCAAAGAAAGCTGTTTGTGGGCTGTCTGCCCATGTCGTGCGGAAGCACCGCAGTGCAAGCATGCTTAGCCAATGACAAACTGATCCTAGCTAAAACACCTAAACCCTAAAGTTCTAAAGCCTAATCTCTACACCTGCCCACCGCCGAAACCCCAAAGCTCTAAAACTCGAAACCCTCTACCTCCTATTTCCTGTCACATAAAATGAAGACCTCGACCGTTCCTCAGGGTTTATAGGGTTTAGGGTTCGGGGTTTGGTTTTGCGATATTCGGGATTTACGCTGCCATGTCTAACAAAGCTTGCTGCATTGGCGTACATGGGCATCTGGCCGGCAGAAGTGCAGCAAAGCAGCGCGACGAAACCCCCCAGGATGCCTGCAAAACACGCCATTCGAAACACTCCTTTCTTATCTTACGGGTTACAAGTTAAGCTTGAGGTTTTATGGCTTAGAACTTACGCTTAAGGGAAGCAGCTCAGCTACTTGAGGGCAGCCGACAGGTTTGAGGGCTTTAAGCTTCAAAAGCAGCAGGACTGATCTGCCAGCGAGGTGCCGAAAGCCCCATGGTTCCTCGGCTTCTACGCCGGGAAGCTACCACGAACGAAGCCTAAACCCCCAAACCTCGAGCGCTGAGGTAGGGGCCGTCCCTAAAACTCAACCACCCAAATCACCAGGTTCACCCCAAAGCGTAAGCCGTAAGCCTTTGTACTTGGATTCTCTAGGGCTAAGATGGGCAACTGCTAAAACCTTCAACCCTAAACTCTAACCCTTGAATTCATGGGCCAACTTTTGAGAGTTTTGTCTGTACAGCCGCGCGAATCAACCTGCTTGCTGCGTTTCCTCGAAATGGTTAGCCTTTCAGGTCTTGCATGTAAAATAGAGACCTCCACAATTAGAGTATCGACATTCTAATATACAAGACTTTTGGGGATGTGAGCACAAAACACTCCACCCCATACTTGCCGAAAAGGTTAAAGGGGCTATTATCTATTGAGCTACCAAATAAAGCCTCTGAGATTGGGGGCATGGCAAAACCAGAAAAGCACTCCCAATACTTGCTGCACAGCACACCACAGAAGCGATGTTTCGGGAAAATATAGTGCTCCTTAGTCCTTAACATAGACGTTTAGAAGGATACTTGTGGTCAGAACTGCCCCCCCAACAAGCCCCACGTCGGAGCCTTTAGGCTCCAGGTGGGCTGTTGCCGCCACGTCACCGTCGATTGAAAAGTCGCTTGACTGCGCCTTCTGCAGTCGTCAGCCTCAAGGTAATAGGCAGACCGTTTCTTCCACGTTTCTGTTCAAGGTCTCGGGTCTGAGGTTTAGGGTCTCAAGGTCTAGAGGTCGAGGGTTTTAGGGTCTTTAAGGCTTAAGTCATTGCGGTTTATAGGATAGGGTGCCTTTTCGAGGAAATACGTATAAGGATTTCTACCAAGAACCGAAAAGATGTATGCCTTGTAAGCTTAGGCAAACCCGAAACTCGAATGGTGCGAAATAAACTCTAAACCCTGTGCAAACTCTTACAAAGCGCCTGCAACACCGATAGAACGCTTATCAAAGCCATACCAAACCCGGATCAGCAGCTCCAAGTCCAAAGCCCTATAAACCCAAAACCCTAAATCCTAAACCCCAACTCCTATACCCCTAGACCCTACAAAGCTGCTAAACTCCCCCGGCCAAAAGGCAGAAGGGAGGCTGTCGGATTGTATTCTCCTTCAGGACACTGGTACTGAACGTAACCTCAGACAGGGTTTCGGGTTTAGGGTTCAATTTTTGGGTTAGGTTTAGGGTGCATGATTTAGGGTCAAGCTCTTAGGGTCTGGAGTCTTCTCCTTCGGGACAGTAGCGCTGAATGCAACTTCAGACAAGTTCCTTCTAGGTTCCCCTGAAGGGCTTTATGGGGTTTCTATACGGGTCGTATAGTACAGAGAGGGTCTTGGGTCTTCAGGCATTTAGGGCTTCAGTGCAATTTGGTGTTTCTAAATTTAAAGCTCAAACCCCACGGGCCCAGGTTCCTCGTGCTGGCGACCGGGAGCCCTGAGGCCTAAGACCTAAACCCTGCACCCGAAACCGTTCCAAGGGCCTTAGTGGTTTGGGGGTGGATTTACGAAAGTTCCCCAACAGTATCCTGCTGTGGTGCGTTGCATGTTATTTTGCCCATCCTCCTGAATTGCGCCAGTCTTGCGACTTGTGGAAAGCATTTTGGGCCGTGCTCCGGAGAGTTCTTGAATCCCGCCAGTACGTGGGGGAAGCATTTGGGCCGTGATCCTGAATCCCGCCCAGTATTTGCGGGAGGGCAACGTAGCCAAATCCAGTAGTGCCCTGGTCTTTTGGGTGGTCCCGGGTGGTTTCTTTGCCTTGTCTTGATCGTCTCCGGTCTCCTGGTGATCTCCGTGTTGTCCTGGTTTGCTGTGGTCGTCGTGGTAGTTCTGGTCCCAATGGTCGTGGTCGTCATGGTCGTCGCGATGCTGTTTCACTTTGGGGATCCACGCTTAAAACTAAAATGTATAACTGTTTTATGACAGGCATATGTTTTTCAGATCCCTGTCTGAAACCCTTCTTAATCTCACCCGTTTAGCTCCTCCCTTGGCGTTCTTAGGGTGATGGGAAGCGTAAGGTGTTGACTGTGGTGTCTACAAATCCAATACTCCAAGAAGCGGCTGCTGATCAAACCTGAGGATGCTGAAGACTGCTAACGGCCACCCCCCCAACCCCAAATCACAGCCTGCCTACTCTCAATTTGAAACAGCTCAGGAACCGTCTGCCCTCGCCCCTCAGGATTCCCACATAGACATGAATCTCGAAGGGAACTCTTCAAGGAACTGAGTTCGGATGTCAGCTTCGGCAGAGCTTGGCAGCTGCCGAGGATGCTTGTCAGCGCGACAACCTAGGGTTTAGGGTGAGGGTTCATAAGTTCAGGAATGAGAGATAAAGCCAGGATGTAAAGCTCGGGTTTAGGGCGTTTCTGTTTTAATTCCAGCTTCCCACTTCATGCAGCGGGTGCATTCAGCCTCTAGTTCAGGGTGTCGAGCATAGGGCTCATAGAAGATGTCGAGTTTCGGGAAATTTAGGGTTCAGGGTCTTGCGGGGGGGTTGGGGTTCTGGGGCCTCAGGTTGGATTCAGTCATGTTTATGACTTCTGCTGCTGCTGTTCATAAAGGTTCCATTTCTGGCTCAACAGGCACTCGAAACATAACGCATATAGTAGACCTATAAGTTTCAGGTATGTTGTTCCCGGGATGTGTCGAGCTGGCGGCAGTCTCCACCACGCACATTGTAAATCTAAGGTTAGCCCGAAACAAACCCTGTACTAGCCACCCCCGTCATCGCGGTGCCCACACCAAACCTCCGAGCCCGAAACCCTTAATGTACACTTAAACCCAACCGCTTAAACCTCACACATCTCAAGGTAGAGGCTGCGGACCCGCAAGTCCAACAAAATGAAGACACTCAAAGCCCCGAACCTGAAACCCGTGGCCCACCAACACCCTGCCAGCTCGATTTTGTCCAATTTTCTTGGGGATTTAGGATTTGGGATGAGGATTTTAGATTGCGGTTGCAGGGTTTGTATAATGTTACAAGAAGCTGAAACTCGAAATGCAGCGAACCTCAGAATCATCCCTGTCTTCACTTTAGTGGTTTTTGGCGATGTCTGGGATCTTGCTTTAGGACCCTACCACTGAAAGCCTACATGAAGTAGGGACTATTCGTCTTCCCAAAATAACACCTCAAGTATGCACTCATCAATCGTCCGACGGAAGCCTATAGATACTCACTGAAACCCTAACATCAACTTACTTTATATGTCCCCTGTTATCTGCAAATCCAAGCCGGCTTGACGGGTTTCAGGCAAGGTTGAGCTTGAAAGGGCTTTGCGCTTCGGGCTTGGCGATCAATCGAGCTTTTTTCGGGGTGGAAAGTTAAAGGTTTAAGGACTCCGACCCTTGCCGCTACACCCCCTCCCACCCAAAATCTGCTAGGCCTGTGGTCAGAGGGCGGGACATGGCCTACCGCCACCAGCTTATGAAACGAACACTGCCGTGACCTTCCAGTTCGCGTATGCTCGGCTGTCCGTGTTTAGCTCCGGGCCGTTGAGTAGAGAGAGGAGAGACTGCAAGGAAGGAGCAAAGTACGAGAAGAAGGCGAAGAATTGAATGAGCGGGGAACTGTCAAGCCCAACGACAAGACTATTCCACGTGGACAGCTCGCACCCGCCACGCCCGGGAGAAGCACGAAAGAAAAAACAACAAATCGTGCTTTGCCAATCCTACAGGGCATGGAAAATCGAAGCCTCAAACCAATATCAATGCAGTGGCTTGCACTGGCTTCAGATCGGCAACCTCTTGGAGGGCCCATGGATCCAGGTGCCCGCTGGCATGTGGCAAGATCGTTTAGCATAGCAGTGCGGCGCAGGCATTTTCACCATGCGTACAAACCGCATCGCATTGTGGTGAACATCCTGCCCGGGCCCAAATCTCCCCCGCTGCCGATTTTTATCAAAGGGTCGCAATGCCTAAAAGGCAGTCCCATCTTTATGGGCTGCGCCCGTGGCGAGGAAGAAACGAGGTGCTGCCACCTGAGCGCTTTGTACGTGCCAGCTCTCACGACCACCTCACCCGCCTTTATCGCAACAGGAATCTCGCCGGGGCCCGAGGTCTACCCCATCTTCGGGTTCCCACCATGTAAGACAATGTAAGCCGGCGGACACAAACATGCAGCGCACAGCACTCCAGGTCAGGAAGGCTTCTCATGTGCGATGACCTACAGCCCGGAAATGGAAGCTTTCCCGCAACATGAGCCTTTGAGCTGAGAAGGGACCCTATACATTCTTTTTCTGTAGGGCCCGTATACATTCTATATTACGTTAACAATAAGAACCTCAAACAAAATTTGCTATAGTGGGTTCAAGTATCCCTTTTTTTTGTCGGATTGAGGCCGGCGTGACGAACAATTTGGGGGACCCATGCTGCATTACACAAAGCCGACACTAAGCCACTTAACATCTTTACCGTGAACCCTAATTATCCCTAAACGAAAACAAGCCCTACGAACTGGGGTGTGGGCCCAATGACAGCAAAATAATGGCCAGCCACACACGGCTGACTTTAACGAAGGAAGCAGCTAAAGAACTGACAACGAAAATCACCGCAAAGTAGCCAGCGACAGAACTCGTTAACACTTATCGCACCAGTATCACAACGGATCCAACAGTCATAGTAAGAAATTGGCCCGAAAATACAAGCCACTCTCGTTCCCAGCCACCAACTTATGAAACGAACACTGCCATGAACTAGCAATTCGCGTGTGCTCGGTTGTCCGTGTTTAGCCCCGGGCCACCACCAACTAATGAAACGAACACTGCCATGACCTTGCAATTCGCGTGTGCTCGGTTGTCCGTGTTTAGCCCCGGGCCATTGAGTAGAGAGAGGAGAGACTGCAAGGAAGGAACAAAGTACGAGAAGAAGGCGAAGAATTGAATGAGCGGGGAACTGTCAAGCCCAACGACAAGACTATTCCGTGTAGACAGCTCGCACCCACGACAACCGGGAGCAGCACGAAAGAAAAAACAACAAATCGTGCTTTGCCAATCCTACAGGGCGCGGGAAAATCCTAGCCTCAAACCAATCTTAATCTTCAGATCGGCAACCTCTTGGAAGGCTGACAGTGCAAATCCTGCCCGGGCCCAAAACTCCGCTGCCGATTTTATAAAAGGGGCGCAAAGCCCAAAAGGCAGTCCCATTTGTATGGGCCGCCTCTATGGAGAGTAAAAAACGAGGTGCCGCCACCTTGGCGCTCGAGGCAGCTCCATCAGGGGCATGCTTGTATGTGCAACCTCTCACGACCACCTCACCCGCCTTCATCGAAACAGGACTCTCGCCGGGCCCGAGGGGGCATAACACAGACGGAAAGGTGCAGAACTGGCAAGGAGCATCTCACAGGATCAGCTGCTACTGCAGAACTGCGGCAGAAAAACGGCACGCGCGCAGGTCTATACACTTGGACATCAGAATGGAGACGGGGGAAACATGACATCCGAAAAACAGAAGACAAACACCTACAAGGAACATGCATACACCAGGTCGGTTTAAGGGCTTCTCGAAGTGACCGGAGCATATTGGAGGGCCTGCCCCGAATCGACGGAGATGGGCCTCTGCGTTCAACCGTCGACCCTAAACCTTTTCGCATGAACCTTTAACTGCTGCGACCAGCAATCCTAGGTTCAACGAGCCCCAAAGTTGCATGGCGGGGTATGCCGTGCTACGCATGATTACGCGTGCCGAAACCGGACATGACGGAAAGAACCCCTTGGAAGAGCATAGAACAGCCCTCACGTCTGCAAGACTTTTAGTTTTTGACAGTGCTCTGGGCTGAGGCCCATAAATTCTGAAATGCAGCCAGCCCTATTCCTCAGATTTTCTGGCCCGAATGTCTGAATTTCAAACTTAAGATTCCGGACCTGCAAAAGCTCGGGCTCCTGCCTTCGAGGCGGAGGAAAGAAAATGAGTGATGAAGCTTATTTTTTGGCTGAAGCAGAACGGGGTGGCAGGTTGGTGTTTGTTGCGGCCTATGGCTTTTTGCAGTCTATGGCCATGAACCTCCTTCATGCACCGCCCCGCACCACCCCGCCCTCCCTGTCCCGCTCCCCTTTACCACCCCATACCGCTCCGTGCCGCCCCGTACCTCCAGAGGGGCGGGCAACAGCTCTGGGCAGGGTCGGCCTTAGTTTGTGATAAATAGAATGGTGTGCTAATTGCCCACTTCGAGAACGATTTCGGAGCCTTCCATCTGCTAATATATTAGAATGATGTTTGCAGCGCCAGGGTGGACTGCGGCCCACACGGCTGTCCGAATCATCGAATGCTTCCAGACATGAAGTTTGTACGGGGCGATACGGGGCGGGGCAGGCGACGTTCAGCCGGTAAGGGGCGGTGGCTCTGACTTCGTGCCCGAGCTGTGGCGCGGTGCGAGGCAGTGCGCGGCGGTTGTTAACGGGGCGGCAGGCGGCACGGGCGTATACGGCGGGCACAGGATGCACGATGCGGGCAGGCGCCCGAGGTTTTGGCTCTGGGTGGTTCTAACTTGCCGTCCGCGGGTGTAATCACCACAACGCAATGAAGTAAAGACAGTGCTGGCTGATCGTTGGAGCTCTGGCTCTGACACTTGTCACTTGCCAACTGCTCCGGTCCGGCCTCCTCTTCAGCCTTGAGCCTTGGGAGCATGCTCGGAGGAGTTTTGAGTTCATGTCGTCGGACCTCGGTCAAAGTTCAGGGCTTATGGCTTGGGGTTGACATGCTAGGTGTAGGACAGTGTAGGACTTGGGGTTGTCGGCAAGCTTGAGTCATCATTGGAAGTGACAGTTTGCTGTCAATGCAGTCATCGCAATGCGCCACAGGTGGCCGGCGACGTCATATTGTTGGAACTTAACATTCCTGTGTTGTCCTGGTGCACTTTTGTTCGTCCTAATACGCGCAAGATCTGATATGCAAAAGCACAGTTTTAGGACAAGCTTTGCGGGGTTAAAGTGCAATACACCGCAGTTGCATGGTAGTGGCATGCGTCAACACCCTAAGGCTCGCATAAGCCATCCAATGGGGCCTGCCAGCTGCTCGAGGAAGGCCATCTTGGACATTAGCAATGTCTCATAAGAGAGCGCCGCGAAAAACTCCTTCGCGACTTGCGGCTGGATGTCTACCTTGACGTGAGTGCCATCCTTGCTGGTGTACCGCGCAGACAACTGAACGCGCACCATCTGGGAGCCTTAAGTGTGCGTGGCAGCTTCACGGCACGAAGGCACAACCAGCTTCCCGCACCAGCAGGTTCTCAACGGTGCTGATGACGGCCCATCCGCAGGAAACCATGGCAGGCCGCGCACGCTGTGAAGAGCTCGGTTCAGAAGCCCGGGAAGAGCTTGAGCCAAGAGTGGGGGAAAATTCACCAAGAACTTAGAGCGCCTTGTTGTGGTAGGTTTAGACCGAAGAACCCCAGTCTCTAAACCCAAACCTTATATTCGTTTATCTCGACCGAAGAGCTGCGGCACAAAGAGCAGCATAGGCAACCGTCTCGGCCATTTTGGCCCAAGGCTGACAGTTTCCTTGAGCTCAGTCCGACGCACTGGACGCTTTGCCCGTAGCGTTGCACAATTTTCAGGCTTACAGCCTCTGGCCTTAGGATATCTGCAAAAGCATTAACTTGCCGGGTCGCCCCTGAAATTTGAGTTAAACCGTTGGGCTTCGGGCTTTAGTTCAGCTTTTTGTCTTGCGCCTTTTAAGGCTAGGATGTCAGGGTTTGGGCCTGCCGGTTTTGGATTTAGCAGGACTTAGAGGGGTTTAGGATAAGTGTAGGGTTGAGGGCAGGAAGTCAATCTCGAATGCTTCGCCTCCGGGTGTCGTTTGAAGGCCTTCTGAAGGTTTGCAGGTTTTAATGTGCCAGACCAGGAACCGAGTGCTGCATCTACATCTGCTGGGTTCGGGGGCAGTTCAGCTTTCATATCCCGGCTGACGCACTAAGGTCTCAAACACACGGAAAAACCCCAAGCTCGACAGGCGTGGGTTTAACATTCGATACATACATGCCCACAGCCTCGCGCCAAAACTCTGAAACACCAAAGCTCTGCATCCTTCACGAGCAGCTCAACGACTCATGCCTTGAAGGTGCTAGGGCTCCCAGTAGCCCCTTAACAACAGGGGTGCCCCTTGTGCGACCCAAAAATGACAAGGGCATGAGAGTAATCACTGTTGCCGCCCTAGTTACCAAAGTAAAGGATAAGGGTTTTCAAGTAGCACTTCCCAGCCTTCGTTTAAGGTTCTCCGGAAGTTGCGAAGTTTCCCTTGCTGAAGGGATATCGGGCTCTCTGGAAAGTTTTCTAAAGCCAACCAGGCTGCTAAGAACAGGCCCGGCGTGGAGACGTTTGCGACAATCCATGACCTGGAAGGGTTTTTGTGCGGGTGTAAAGGGCTTCTGTAGGATCTTGCCCGCGTTGCGTGGGGTGTATAGGCATAGGGTCTCCATCAACCCTAGACCCTAAACCCTCAACGGTTTGGGGTTTAGGGTTTGCAAAGGTTTCGATCGGCTAGACCACATCTGATGAGCACTAAACCCTAAACTCGCACAATCCGGTATTGCGGGTGAACCCTAAAAGCGTGAACCTAAAGACTTACATGCCTTAACTTCTTCAACAGGCTAAGTTCACCAACAACATCAACAGCACCACCACCCAGCTTCTAGCTGCTAGAGAGTCCCAGCTTCTTTGAGAGGAGTTAGTGCCCCAGAAACTTCAGAAAAACCATAGAAAACCTGTTTTAGTTCGTTGTTGTTGGGCTTGTGTCGTTGGAGCGGTACTTGTAATGTTTTCCTGATGCGGAAAGATTACCTGGATCAAAAAGAAGAAGATTCCGACAACGGTTACTGCAAGTTCCAATTGATCTGCAAGCTGCATGTGCAAACGACACCACAACAGCAAGAGGCTCTTCAAGACATGTAGAGCAGAAGCTTCGACCCATGCTTCCCACAAGCCACTTGCAGCCACAAACTGTCGACTTCTATTTGGATGTTCTACATGCAGCTCACCTCGCAAAGCAGATGTTTCTACTTAGGGTAAGTACCCGCTTCGCACGGCAGGGGTCATGCATCCGAAGATAGATTCCTTAACTCTAAACACCTAAACCTGAAACGCCTAGAACATCATCAACCGGACCCGTCCCCAGCGCCTTGAGGCACAGCTTTGTGTGCAACGGGGCGAAAAATCCCAGAATTGCAGATAAGATGATAAAGCCCGGGAGGTCGAGAAAAGAAAAATCCGGATGGTTGGTGCCGTACCTCAGTCTGAGTGTAGGATTTAGGGCGTAGGGTTTGGAGGGTTTAGGGTGTAGGGTTGAACAAAGGTTTGGGATGTCAGTCTTCAGGGGGGGTTCGGGTATGAGGATGTTAAAGTCCAGGCGGTGAGAGAACCGGCTCTAATTAGCACAGGGTTGTGGGCTTAGGGTTTAGAGGCTTTGGGGGTGAGTATCTTACACTCTATATTTGGAAGAGAGAACCTTCGGAACCGTAGACGATTTATAGCATTAGAGGCTTCGTTTCTAAGGGGCTCTAAGTAAGTCGTCAGGGTTTAGGAACCAGTTTAGGCTTAGGTTGTGTCGCCCTCGGCAGCTCCCTACTTGACAGATGTAGCTGCAAGGAGGCTTAGGGTTTGGGTAAGGGCATTCTAAAAGTTCTTTAAAGGGTGCTTTCAGTGTGCTTCCAGAGCACTGTAACGGTACTATAAGAGAGAAGTTCAACACCCAAAACCCTGTTCCTATGCTAATCTAGGGCTTCAGCTCCAACTGTTTACATCGAATTTCTGTAGTGACGCCTTAAATCCAAAAGCACCTTTTGAAGCCTGATAGTGACACCTATAGAAAGCTTTAACCAGGAACCCTTTTCAAAACACTCTGCTCTAGTTACCTCTGAGGTCGTAGGGGCATTGCAAAGCCGAACACGGAAAGGCGCTCTGTGCCGGGCTCGAACCACCTTCACACTCTGAACCCTAAACCCCAGAAGCCCGAAAAGTTGGCGCGATGATGGTGATGATGATGACGATGACGTTCATGATGAGGAAGTGGGAGGCTACCGATGGATAAAAGTCACCAAGTTCTAGCGAGCACTACTATTTGGAGTTCTAGTAATACTGAGGCCTCAAGAACACAACAAGGGAAACCGCAGCGGCTGAATTTTAATCGTGGTTTTTTTCTCAGTTCTCTAAACCCTAACCCCTAAAGCCCTAAAGACAAGCCCCTTATCCCTAAAGCCCTAAATCCAACACCTTATCAACTCCCGAGCTCTACACCCACAGTGTGCTGTGCGAAGTTGCCGAAGCCCGCTGAAACCCAAAGTCTCCGTGCGGCATTAACTGCAACGGTTTAGGCTTCATGGCCTTGGGTTTCGGTTCTTTTGCCTTTGGGGCTTTGGGCTTAAGGCTTAGCGTTTGGGTTTAGGCATGTAATCCCGAAGATTCCAGCACTCTCTGGAAAACCGCTGCGGAAGGTTTGAGAAGGCCAAGAGAAACGTGAGCCCACTGAACGACCGATTTGAAACTTGCCAATCCCGCAGGAGCAAGATGCCACATCTCGAAGATGACGAACTCCTGGGCATCAGCGTGATGCAAACAATCGTAGACACTTCACAAACCCGGAAAGAACTCGAAGCGCAAAGCAGCCTTAAAGGCCATGAAGTTAATATGCATCCCTGCACCCCCAATACCCTAAACTGGAAGCACATACAAGTATCGAGAAGCAAAGGCTCGCTCCGGGAAGTCTCTGTCTTTACACCCAGCGGTTTATGGAAGTTTAGGGTTTAAGTGAGAACACCGACCCCGAGACTCAAAGCAAAGAACCAAGGCAACCTGAAGTGCTAGCATCAGCAAATGAAACCCTAAGTACGATAAAATAGTTGTGTAGGCTGAGTGCGATCCAAGCAGCTTTGTGGTTTGGTGTTGTTCAAACCCTAGGCCCTTATCAACCCGCACTCCTACACCCTCTCTCTCTCTCACACGGACTCAGTCACCTGCCGGCCGCGACGCAAGGCACCACTCCGATACCCTGACACCTTAAAAGCACGTCAACCTGTCCCCGCTTTCCGTCCCGGGCCTTGCGGAAACCCATCCTTCGTGATTCTCGGGTCGGGTCACAGCCATCAACACCCACCGCTCTTCCCCAAGCTGGTCTCAAGCCGGTCTGCTACCTCTGAATGTAGGAATGTAGGGGTTTAGGGTTTAGAGGTCGGTCAAGGGCTCAGGGATGAATGGCTTCGTACAGAGAGCGCCCTTGTCCGATTTACACGTCTCTCAGAGCACAGTAACAACCGTAATGAACCCAATTATCCAACTCGGTACAGTCCCAACTAGGCTATAAGCATCCCAAACTCCAACGAGCCTTGCGTCGTAAACCCTGCGCCCTCAACCCTGCAACCCCAAAAGTCGATACACCCAAACGCTGCCACCGAGGATCCCGGATGCTCGACTGGCAAACTCGCAGCAGTGCATAAGACACCTTTTTGGGACCAGGCGTTTAGTCTTCGAGCTTGGCAGCTAGGATTTCGGGGACCTTTGGGGGTATAGACCCTCTTAATAAGGTCCCTTTTAAGAGAGCCATAAGTAGGGTTAAGAAGAGTCTCCTTTTAAGGAGTCTCCCGAATACTACCCAGGAGGGCTTACGTAGACTTTGGAGGCAATTTTAGGGTTTGGGACCTAAACCCCTCAAGCCTGTTACGGGGCCGACGGGGGGGTGTAGCGCTTAGCAGGTCAAGTCCACCCGCTAGTTTGAGGCGAGCACGGGCATGCAAACTTTAAAACAAGGGCCTGCACATAGTCTAGGACATTTTCAGGTGGGTAGTTACCGTTATGGGAGCCTTATAGAAGGTCTATATACCTTATAGAAGCCTTATAGAAGCCCTATATACCCTAAACTCCCCACCTGTAGTTTCCTTCAACATAGT